ATTTGTATTTACTGGATCGCGGCTTCGATTGATAGAGGTAAATGTATGCTATCAGTTTATGCATTTTAAGCGGAATAAATGCAGAGCAATGAAATGACTTTTTACCCTGCAATGACAACTGTGGTCAGGACGAGATAGTCTCTCTCTGCCCATTAAGAGTTAAGCAAATAGGCAGTTATTATCCAAAACCCAACTATCACGACCAAATGTGAAACACGGTTGCAGACAAAAAAGCTGCGCACAATGCCAATTAGAAAAACTAAATTGTTAAACCATTAGTCAGTTTCCCCTTTTGCCGAACGTTGAAGAAGTGATCAGTCGTCTATTCACTAACAGTTGGAAAAATATGAATAGAACTCATTGAAAAAACGTATTGCACTATCCTCAGGGCAAGACTAATATGGACCTTCCCACCAAGCTTTGCATGATTTGATAAATGCAATCTACATTAAGAATAAAACGAAAGACATAGATAGATACGATGTTTGTAAAAATCACCTTTTCTACTCGCACTCTCCGCCCGTGATAAGATAAATTGCGCACGATATGGGAAAACCTCGGGAGTAGACAATCGATATTCCACAGGATTCGGTGGGGACGACTGGACACTATCAACTGGGTTATCGTTCCACCGGAGAGTATTGAGCAGGAGCCAACCTATAACGTGACAGCGAACTGAACTCGGACCGAATCGACCTGAGGACGGATTCGGTTCGTAGGGATATTGAGTTCGTAGGAGCCATATGCCAAGGCGCGCATCTCTTCCAACGGATAACCAGATCCAGCTTCGTGTGGACAATTTACGGGTAAATGGAAAGGTAGAGTCATACAAAGAGGTAATATGGTGAGTTTGAATGAAGTGCGATTACTGAAAGTTTACTAAGCTCCATGCTTAGAATTGCGTATTTTACTTGTACGATAGGAGGAGTACTTGAAAAAAATGCCGGCGATTTTACCACAAACACGTTTGAAGTAAGGGGGAGGATGAATAAAATCATGACCTGAGTTCCGGTTCATTCAATCTTAGGTAAACGACGCTATGAGCATTTCGACAAATAACGTCCATGTGTAGTCTGTGAAAAGCCAAAGATGGATTGCTAGCTCCAATCTTTTTTGCTGTCCGAATCAACCGTCCAACTTTAATTAACACCAAATATAACACAAAGTGCTGTAACATAACCGTTTCTACTTCTACGATCTATCTGTTTGCCTCTAGTAATTAAATGGATTTGAACAAACATAGACATATTTTCACACGCTATACCAGTACATCTGCAACGGCGGTGACGCATACATTGGCAGAAATAACCGTCGATCTTCTCAACGAATGGCCGAACACATACCGAAGTGGTTCTTGAGGACGATAATACAACACTCACCCGAGAGTCAGACGGTCACACGAAAACACCATGACAACCAAACATTTAGTGGAAACCACCTCCTATTTCAAACCATTATTGAGTAACTGCAATGCAAAACTGTTGGCAATCAGCGAGGTGTTGTTAATCAGCGCCCCAAAGTTGTTGGCGCAATCAGTTCAATTTCCGCGGAGTTGATCCGTTTTTCAATTTTCTAGCACCCGTCTATTTGTACACGTTCGTTCGCGAAGATTTACCAACCTAATGTGGTATATAAACACCACGACAAAAGTAATGCATCCCCTAGATCTTCGAATTATGTCCGATCCCAAAAGCACGATCATCAACATTTTTGAGAATCGAACGAGAAGCGGAAATACGAAATCTCAAAAAAAATATTTTCAATTTTAACGACGTTACAAAAACTGAATTTTTTCCGCGTCAAAAGTAATGCACCCACCCCTGGTATTCATATCTCAAAATTCGGTTTTAAAACCGGTGTGATAGACATCCCGAGTTTGTGCTTCGACATGGTAACTGGCACAGTGGCGACTCAGCGGCTGACAGATTGGTGTAAGCTACAGTCATGCTCACCTCATCCCCAATGACTTCGAAAGAGCACCGGCGTCCATACCGATCAATGCCAAACACCGCGCAATGGGAGAGGATTACGGATAACGGGGGATCCAAAAGTGATGTCTTTTGTGAGGTCACTGCCAACACACAATACAACCGGACTGTAGAATAAATTCTGCCCATATTGACACTCTACACACACACACACACCCAGCACCACTATCCTGTTGTACATTGTCTTCCCTTTGACCGTGTTATGTTGATTTCATCCCCTCATTGATCCGTGCCTATGACTGTTCTCCACGCCGTTTACACATACGCACGCACTATTAGTGTGTTTGCCCCATTGCGTTGACCTCTGTCGGTCTCACCCGTCCCATCGACCCGTACCCATGGTCGACTGACTCTGACACTTGTGTACACACACGCACGCACACACCNCCTACACCGATTCATCGCACTGTCCTGTCACGATCATGTCAAACAAGCATAGGTGGATAAAGGGGACCAAGTGTTTCAAACAGTCGTATCGAACAATCGTATTTAGAATTCTCAATAACGACACAATATTCGACCTTGGATCTTCCGTGACGAATTAATTGCGATTTATGAAGTTCAGGGTAGACTCAGGGAGCTAACCTGAAAGCAGCTACAAGGGAGTGTTATCCGTGAATAGATACAGGTTAATTTGTGGAATCATTTTGCTGCTAATTCCGATTTCGAAACGGAAGCATTCACATGAGGAAACATATTATTTCAACAATTACTATTATTATTATAACTTTATTACTTGATACCAAAGTGTTCCATATTTTTACCGGGAAAGAAGACAAAGATAATATTTAACCAGGTAATTTCCCGTTTAGTCAAATCAACTACATCTACGGAAAAACTGTTGAAGTGAGCAAGTGAACACCGTGCCTGCCGGTTGAATAAGGAAAGAGAAATGTGCCATCCGTCAACTTGTATTTAAGACTGATAACAAAAGCTAGCCCGGACGCGTCTTCCGAATGGGTATCAAAAAATGTATGGAGAAAATTATCCGATTGGCACATAGGGATCACCTATTTTTAGAAATTTTGATATGACCCATTCAGATCATTAAACACGAATCTCCCTAAACCGTTGGTGAAATTAGAAAATAGCTTCTTTTAACACACCAAACTGTTGCCTTTGAGCGGCAGTGGGTTATTTGAACTACATTGTACCTTGTACCTCGTGAACGTTCAACTGACATATCTATCCCGAGTTTACCCTTCCACTGCATTTTATTTGCCAATCGTATTCCTGTTTAAACTAGTATACTAGGGAAATGATCGATTTTCATGTTGCAGCGTGGTCTAAGGACTTAAGATCCGCTTTAAAGCGAAGAGAACCAATCAAGCACAGTCATAACGTAACATCCGACACTACCGCTAATTGACCTTGACCGCTCAATCGGTGCGCCCAAACTGATCTTATTCACAATTAATCGCCGATTTGGTGTCCGATCACCTTTCTGCGACCCCGGAGTCGCACGTGATAGTAGCACACGGCTCACGTTACCATCCGGCAACCCCCCCCCCAATTGTTTGCTTAATTTGGGTCACTAGAGAAGCGGATACTGTAAAATGTTTTGGATATTTTTTTAGACAGTTTTAATGTATAAGATATTGTTCTGTTTGATGATACACGAAAGTCCATTTTTACATGGTTTGTTTTAAATTGTGACCTTGAAACATGTTGGACGGGTCTAAAATGTAGGGGATGCTACACCATATTCAAGGAGAGGCGGGTGTGGGGNTGGGGTATATGCAGGAACACCATTTATTGCCGCCAACACTTACTTGTGCATGTGGTCGTACAATGGATATGCAGGAGTCCTCCCGCAGCCCGGATCACTTTGTTCCCTAGGTTACAAACATATATGTGTCCACCACGCACGGTTTCGTCATACTAATACTAATAAAGTTGAGTCCTTTTTGGAACTATATCAAAAGACGCTTGAAAACGCTACGGGGTCGGTCTGAAATGTGATATGGGAACATCTAGATGAAGTACAGTACTGAATGTGGTGTAGTCTTTCTATACAGACGTTTAAAAATGACTTTGATATTTATTTGCAACATCTTGCGTAGTTGTATCCATGTTGAATACATTTACTATTCATTAGATTATTTTTTATTTATTTCTGTGCTTCAATTTCCTGGGGAAATGTTTCACTACTTATGAGAAGTAGTATCATTTTTACGAAAATCGCCAAGGGGGGTGCCGGATGGTAACGTGAGCCTAGCACACAGCTCTCATACGTTACTGAAATGGCTTTGGGAAACGCAGCTGCATGAAACGTAACGAAGGTAGTTGCGACTTCGGAACACGATAAAGTGAAAACCGTCAGAATATTGAGAGAATTTATGCCGCAGGTCGGTGCTTTCTGAAAAGTTGCAGATGTTTGAAAAAACGAGACACAGAAAGGAAGACAAAATTCTAAGATCGGGTTATGTTGAGTTCGGCGGACACAAATTGATATAATCATCATATTTGAAAACGCAAACGGGAGAGTCAAGAGCAAAATAGAAGAATAAACAGTGATATAACGGGATCTTGAAGTATGCCTGATTCGTTCGCTATTGGGTCGAATACTGCTCTACAACAAGCTTTGTGTTGCTCCCTCCACGAAAACCAATCTCCTTTTTGAACCAGTGTGTGTGTCGGGGGGACGGTTAGGTGTGAGTGAAGGAAATAGGGGATCAGCTATCATAACTAAAAATGGTCAAGGGCTTTTCGTAAACCGGGGTAAAGTGAATCAAAGTAATACAACCTGTTGCGGTGGTGAGTTTGCCAGCCCGAGTGAGTACCACGATATACACGATATATACGTGGCACCACAAAGTTCCCAGTGCGCCGGAGACAAGAGGACAACCGAAATAGGTGTTTACAATTTGGCGCCATTTTCAAAAGTGATTGTTTTACGTAGAGTGACAAACAAATACCGCGAAAACCAAACCAGAACAACGATTTAAAAACCAGAATGGTTCAATAGAAACAGTGTTCGACCGATGACAAAGAGGACTGGAATAGTACGGCTTACTTGAATCTCATCTCCTCACGCATAGACTCGCTCAATGTGGACCGATTACTTTGACTCCGCAACAAATCGAACGTGGTGTCCGTACTGCGATCCGATCGAGCTCCACCGTGCTTTGATCGTGAGCGCACAGAGCAGCTGCCGTTGAAAATCTCGTCCGTCGTTAGTCGAGACACGGACCATGGATAACATTTTAGTTCGACTATCTGAGCCGGATCGTTGGATTCGTTGACATGATCTCGTAGCACGCGGGTCACCGCAATGCGTCCATTCTGTTGAATTGTAAGCAAAATAATCAAACCGTTCCGCGTTCCCAAAGCCAGATGATCCGGACCGATAAAATGTAACGCGGTGGTACAATCATTCTCAGACGGGCTCACCGGTGGAATCTGACTGACAAGTCGAAGCTGAGAGACATGGAAATTAATTACTCTATTAGTTTCACACAGTAGGACACAAATATACATACGATCGACTGAGTGGATGATTGCATTTTCTAGGAGGTTTCGAATCCGGTCACAGGCTGTGTGCAGATAAATAAGAAGCGAACCCCACAGGTTACCATAATTGAGGTTTATCCAACAGTGTATCATTTCAACACTTTCAACCGTGATTATGTCTCCGCCACTCTGAAATGTATTGGTTATCAGCCCTTGTGCAATCCCTCACATAGGGATTCATTATTTTCGTCTTTTTCATCGTGAGTCGTACCCCATGCCTATCCCAAACGATTGGTTTCTTTTCACAGCTTACTACGTCGAACAGTTTAAGCAATATTTACTTACTGGCCTACTGGATTTTTCCCCATTTATTTCATCATCCAATAATCTACTGTTTCATACAAAAAAATTGAATCAATGATGAACTTTTTGTCTTTAGTCGCATAAACCTCGGGGGTGATCGATCATCGAGATCCTGGGATGGTACGGACGCATGCACCACTTCCGGACAGTCAATCAGGAGACAGAGGTTCTGACCAATCTGGGGAGTTTAAGTATCTGTAATCTGATTGGCTGAATACTGGAGAGCTAAAAAGTAGACCCGATCGACCCCGATTGGATCACAAAAAATGGACCAATGTGCGATTAGAAATTTTGATATCCATTTGCATCCTTTTTTTTAATAGAAACAAGTGTATCCACAACTAGTCTTCCTGGCTTTGCTCTATTCGGTGGCTTTTCATTCCGAATCCGAGTTGGTGCCTCCTATTACGATTATTATAACGAGTACTACAATATCCTATAAGTGAGACGTATCACTCATCCCGTAGTTAATTGATATATGGTCGCCAGCTAGAATGATGTCCTGGGAAACCCAGGACATTTGACCTTAATCTGACCAACGGCAGACCAGCCGCATCACAACACCATAACCACTGGGTTGAATTATTTTATGAAAAACTTCGGGTGCTATTTCTCATGTGGTGGTGATGCCAATCCAAATCAAACTGCGACTAAAAAGTAAGTAGCAGTAGATGAGTATTGTTCGAAAGCCCCAGATCCTAACTCATTGGGCAGCGTCAGTAGAAGTTTGTGGGTTTTTTAAAGTGTTACCGTCAATTTTGGGTCATTTAGACTATCGGCTTTGCACAAAGATTCCTTCGAACAGAAAACAAACTCCACTCTATCCCTCGGAACACAGGCTAGTTTATTGACCTCTTGTAACCTGGCGTTCATCAATTCAACGTGAGAACATCATTCAACCTCATGTACTATTATTAACTCTGAAGGCCGTCATCCGCATCACTTGGAAAAAAGACCCCAGAATGCATTGGTGAGAAAGACGGAGAGATTGAAATCGGATACTAACTCTAACTTACCCGCAGCGGTATCAACACCCACTTGCTACTAAGTGAAGATCCATGTAAGTTGCAAGCAGTTCTGGATAAGTTGAATGCCAGTGTAGCCACATTCGGTATGCGTTTTGCACCTTCAAAGTGTAAAATGTTACTACAAGACTGGGTTGGTCCAGCACCCAGCCTCACTCTCACTGGGGAAGTAATAGAGCAGGTGGATAAGTTTTGTTATCTGGGCAGCTACATCTCACCCGGTGGACGCATCACGGATGAAGTGTCAGCTCGCATACAGAAGGCTCGGTTGGCATTTGTTAACTTGAGACATCTGTGGCACCGTCACGACATCCGGCTGTCTGTGAAGGGTCGAGTGTATGCCGCGACAATTCGGCCAGTTCTGCTATACGGTGCCATTAAGAAAACAAGATAAAGACAGACTGTCGGTGTTTGAACACCGCTGTCTACGCAGCATTGCACGAATCTGGTGGGGTAGCCGGATGAGCAATGCTGAGGTTAGGGACAGAGTTTTGGGTAAATACGGTCGCCCACTGGAGCAAGTGATCGACCTCC